TCGACAGTAGAGGAGCAACACTTTACACTGTTTATGCTTTCATCACATTCATAACCTGTTATAAGACTTTTTTTAAAATGGGTGCATTAAAAAATCAACTGGAAACTTATGTTAAAACTGAGAGATGGGCTAAGCTGCAGCCAGAATCCCACAACAGGTTAGGATACACCAACTTTATGGGTCTGGATGAGGTGCCATTTTTTTTTCCCATTCATACTTATGAATTGTTGTCCCATAACCGCAAAATTTATTTCTATATAATCCATTTAAATTGTATTGCATAGAAATATGTTAATAGGCTGTGAAATATACCCATATATATAGAATTTACTGATTAAAGATATCAAGTTTTATCACACTAAAACTAAGGATAACTGGAATGGAGTGTGATACAAACTTTGGGATGAGGCATTATAAACTGTGCCATTTTAAAACAAGCTCATCAAACTGTGAGAATTTCATACAGGTCGACATCTTTTACCAGATACATGTACTGGTGAGGACTAAACTAAGTTCAGCCTCTGTTGCAACACTATCAGTGTGAAAGTAGAGGGTTTGAGGCATAGCTTGATTAAACACCCCATGATGTCAACGGTTCAGATAACAGGCCTGAAACCTCCGAAACACTCCAAACATCACAGCCACATGCCATTAAACTCGGTCATTTGATCTGCTCTACACTCTGGCACAGATTCACAGCGTATGCGTTAAAAAAGTCCTACTGTGAATCAGAGTCACACAGTGAAATTGGTTTCTCTATGCACCTTCTTCTGCAAAGCTTTGACAAAGACATCAAGCTCACCAGTTTACTCTGGATGCCTGCCACTTTGCTCTGGGCAGGTAACACAGAACAAACCTGCCTGAGTTTGTAAGCTGAGAACAGCTGTCCACAGCTTTTATGAGGCATCACGGTTTTGGTATGTGCGACCAAAACAAAGAGACCAATGAGCCTCGGGAGTCGATGCAGAGAAGAAACAACAAATCGAGCGCCATCTTTGTTTAGTCTTGAATATAAGCATTAGGATGGAACTAAAATCACTCTTCAGTCGATCGTTTTTCAGCAGCAGTCAGAAGAAAAATAAACTTTTTCATGTTGTGTCAATTTGTAACTATACTTCAATGTATTTCATTAGTATATTGTGGACTAGACCAAAGTACCACATCATTATAAGGCAGAAGAAAAACTTTTGTTTTTCTTATTTAAAAGAGCTTTGAAAAAGGTTCCTGTTTTGGTATAGATCTTTGTTTAGGGTCGTCGTCCTTCTGGAAGGTGAGCCTCTGCATCAGTCTTAAGTCTCAAACTGGATCTCTTTCAACATTTGTTTCGGTATCTCACTATGGCATGTCCCATAGTGAGATAACGCACTAATGTTTCAGAGAACCGGGGTTAAATCCTTAACCTAAACTTCTCTTCCAGGTGTTCCTTCTCTTCAACCTCATTAAACAATTTTGTCCCAATAAAAGAAAGCATCCATACAACATCACTCCCCAACACCATGCTTAAACTTAAGCCTGGTGCATTAACTGTTCTGCTATGGAGCTTTGCATGTAGTAAGGAATTTGCAGTTGGGTATCATTTGACCAGGGCTCCTTCTTTCCTACATGCTGTGTCCCATAAAAGCTTTTTTGGCAAATTGCAGAACAAACATCTTAGATTTTTTTTTTACTACTGACAGTCAGCTGTCTTCTCTTTCCACATGTTCCCACTGGAGGAGACTCTGAAGTCAATAACTTGATGAAACCAGCTACTACTGGAGTAAAACCATTATTAACATTTGACATATTTGAACTGGACTGCTTTGTCTGACTGAATTGAAGGATATGTCATTCAAACGTGTAATTTTATGCGTACGGTATAGAAATGTGATCTTTTGTCCTCCATTGTGCCTTGAGATGACATTTGCTGTAAGTTGTCATGACAACTGAATTCAGAAAACTGAAAGAACATTATTTTAGAGAGCACAGATTTTTTGGAGTGCAGCAGTGATGCCAAAAAAATTCTCCCAACTGAGTCGTTGATGCGTGCAGCTCCTCCAGAGTTACCATAAACCACTCAACATATTCTCATTATCAGTTCGTATGAAATCGTACGAAAAGTTATGCACACTATTTCGTACGTTTTGGACGTTTTTCCTCAAAAAACCACATCAGTGCGCATGCGCTGGCAGACAGAAAAAAAAGCATATCCGCGGACGGACGGAAAACTGGGAAAAACAGTGCAATCATCACTTATTCATGTCTCGAACTACGTTGCTTGCTGTTTTATATCTTAGGGTTAGGGTCAGGGTTAGGGCTAATTGTAATTTATATTCTAGATTCGTGAATGGTGCGTCAGATGCGCATGCACATACGTCGAAAAAAACGTCCAAAACGTACGAAATTACGGTGCATAACTTTTCGTACGATTTCATACGCACTCGTAATGAGAATAGGTTGAACCACTTCACTTCTGTTTATGCCCCTACTCCTCAAGAACTAACCTACAATGATTCATTACGAACTTTTTCAACTTTTCCAAGGATAAAAGATTCTTAGATCCATAAATATTTTCGTGATTCCCATTTTTTGAACAAAATGAACGTCGGAGGACTGTCTGGCACTGATTGGCTAAGGAGCGGAGTTATTATTCAAAGCTTACTTTGATAATTGGTATCTTCAACATTTAATCATTTTATATTGAGCTCATGTTGTATACAAAGACTATTATAAGCTAGCCGTAGGTAGCATTTGCAGTGGGTAGCGTTAGCTTAATTTTACATATGCTGCAGCTTGTATCCCTCTATTTAATATCACACTGCTTCTCTCTCGTGTCCATATCCAGGTTTCAGCATTTAGCTGCCCAAACAGTCTGAGGTGAGCCATAAACAGAACATCATGTTCTGTTTATGGCTCACCTCTTACTATCAAAGATCCCGCCCCCACCGAGATACTGCGCCAAAGTAATGGAAAATTAATTAATGTGACCCAAATAGATAAGATACCGATAGAAAAAAAAAAGCATTCATGTTCTCATCAGCACTGCTGATGGCTTAAGGTGCTCAGAGATCTCATGTAAGAATTAGCTGTTGTGTTGCACCACCATTTTCTAATGAAAGCGACATCTGAAGGCAATTAGTTGCGATCTATTTTATTTTGTGGTATTAGAGTAAAAGGGGACAAATCAAATGCACACCAAACTTTTGGCTCTCAGATTTTTGCCTGCGTTTAACATTGACTAATTGCACCCTTTCCCTTCACTTTATAGATAACCCATTTATATTTGTCTAACATATAAAATCCTTAAAAGGTATGGTTTTAACTGATAAAAATGAGGAAATGTAAAAATATTGTTAGAAAACAATGTTTTTATAGAATGACATTGAAAAATGCATTTATTAAACCTGCAGTACATAAGTGAGACCCTAGAGTAAAAAAACAAAAACACAAAAAAACTACACAATGTCTCTGTTTGGTATGTAGGTGCATGATCAGAGAGAAGCCAACATGAGAGCAGTGCTGCTGATAAGAACAGCCTGCTCGCTACCGACTATTAATCTTGACAGTCAATGCTCCTCTAACAGAGGCAACCCGAGCTCAGTGTCCTGTTTGGCCCTCCAACACTAAAACTGCGATTAATCTCATCACATTCACCAGAGCTTCAGGTCATGTCAGGCCCAGTTTGCCTTAACAGCCAAACACATTCTTCATGATGTAAACAGGGAATGGGATAAACAAAAAAATGAAACAAAAAAAAACTTTCTTTGCAGTGAAGAAAAGTTCCTTGGAGGAGGATTACGCAAGCTAAGATGATATCATCAAACCAGCATGGACAGAGCAGAAAAAAAGAGGAAGCGTGGGTGTAAGAAATATGGAAATAAAGCAGAGAATAGTAAGGCTGTTTGAATGAGATTTGAATTTAATGTCAATGCGTTGGCCTTGCTTGGCGATAATTTGCCCTCTGCATAGGTCTGGAGATTTATATTACGAGATTCTTACAAAGGCCACTATGAAAACAGAAACTAAAACATTTCTACTTGTGCAAACCACTAATGAACAGTAAAAATGTATCTGAACCACCCCTAAAAAAATCTTTAGGTTTCCTGTGACATTTAAATGTTTCCAATTTTAAAAACAGATTGATAAGCCATAAAACTATTAAAATAATTTTTTTAAATAAGGATTTAACTTATTTTTCCAATTTTCTGGAAAGCTGAAATAGTTCTGCAATACCATGGTCGAAAAAATTACCTGAGCTGTGGAGTCAATAGACCTCACTGACAGCCAGAGTGAGAGCCATTATATACAAAAAATACAGAAGAGTAAATCTACCAAAAGTACCTCAAAAGCTCATCAATGATTCATCCAGGAGGTCACAAAACAAGCCAGGAAAACCTCTAAAGCACTGCAGGCGTCACATGCCACAGTTAAGGTCAGTGTTTATGGCTGGACAATAAGAAAGAGACTGGGCAAAAATGGCCTTGGTGGGAGGGCTTCAAGGTGAAAACCTCTGCTGACTGAAACATCTGCCTCTAAACTAGGGCTATTGATAACCCAGCTATATTTTGTATTGCCTTTGGTTAGTTCTGAATGTTTTCTAAGATCTAAAACATTCAAATGACGTGACATTTTAATAATTTAGTCTCTTATCTTCCCTTAAAGCAATTAAGATAAAGCAATTGTTAGATTAGAACCAATTCCTTGGTAATATAAAGTACGTGCTGACTAGCTGAGCCATAACCCATCTTATATTAAAGTGCTTTCCTTGCATTTCCCTTCACCTATTGGACTAAGCATCAATATAGATCTGCTCTCCTGTCGCAAAGCAAGGACCAGAAATCCCAAGCTTTGGCAAATGCTTATGTAGGAATAAATGAGGCAAATACTGATATTTGCTCTCGGATATGAGTGGGAATAAAATATTCCACATTCAGTAACAGCTCAGGGAAAAGAGAGGAATGGTTGAAGGTGAAAAGACAGAGGTGGAAACCACCCAAGTGAGGACAGAAACAGACTTATCCTACCGTCCAGCACTGTAAGCTTGGCACTGGCGTGGATCTCGTCAACGCTGTTTGTGGCTGTGCACTCATAAATGGCTTCGTCTCTATGGGTGCGCAGTGGCTGGATCCGCAGTACGGAGCCTGACCCATCATCGAATTCAATCACCTGTGAGAGCCACAGCAAGAGCAAAAGGAAGAAATGTTGGGTTTTCATTTCCAGACATTTATTTTATATATAACCTTTTTTTTTAGACTTAAAACAACAGCAACAGTGGCTTTCATATGCTAGAATTTGAAGGTTTTCCATGCTGAAACACAAATAAGAAACCCCCTTCTGGGAAAAAAAAAAAATGTGACTAGATTTGGTGTAGCCCGAAAACAGGAGGAGGACAATAGATTGGAAAGGCAGGGGAGGATAACCTCCCTGTGACATACAGTGAGGAAGCATTCCGGTCCTTTGAAAATGTTCTCATTTGTAAATGTAATGTAAATGCCTTATTTTCCCACAATGGGGAACTTACGGTAACCCTCTGCGTTTGACCCTTGGGAAACAGTGGGCTGCCATTGTGTGGTGCCCGGGAGCAATGTGGGGTTAAGGGTTTTGCTCAGAAACGCAGAGTGGAAGCTGTGGGGATCGAACCGGGTACTTGGAACCTTCTCAGAGCACAAGCGCACTGCTCTAAGCACTAGGTTATCACTCCCAATTTGGTTATGTTTCAATGAGCTTTTTGTTGCATTTCTGTTGGAGTACATCTCCACCAGTTTTGCACATCTAAAACTGAATATTTTTGCTCCTTCTTTATGGTGAAACAGCTCTGGCTTATTGAGATTGGTTGAGCACATCTGTGAACATACATTTTCATAAGATTATCAGCTGGATTTGGATCTGGACTTTGATTGGTTCTGTTAAAGTTAATATGCTTTGATCCAAACCATTCCACTGCTTTATGCCTGAGGTTGTTTTCCTGTTGGAAGGAATAATATATATATTTTTTAACTCTAGCCAACTTTCCTGTCCCTGCATTCCAGCAACATAATGGTGGCACTACTATTTTTCACAGTGATTGTTGTGTGTTCTGATTATTAATGTTCTAACTCATCAACCAATCCTGCTGCAAAACAACAAATGGATCATTCATGTCAGCATCGGCCAATTTTTCATTAAAGCCAATCACAACATTCTCCTACTCTATCTCTATATCTCCTTTAGAGTTACCATGACTGTTGATCAAACACTGTTGGTGCTTAAAGCAAGGCAGTGCCTGTGTTGATCAAAACCAAAGTTTTCAAATGCAGCTCTAATTTGCAACTGTGTTTGCATTTATGTTAAACCCCTTCCTTCTTTGGTACCCACCTCAAAGCGCTGAGAGCTGACTTTCTTGCCTTTCTTCATCCAGGTGATTCTAGGCCTTGGTTCTCCTGAGGCCTGGCAGACAAATGATGCAACTCCGCCCGAGACGCCAGTCTGGTCTTCAGGGGTTTTGATAAACTGTGGCCTGTCTGGAAGGGGGGGAAGAGAGGTGAGGTTAGAGTTGGTGCCCTTTTCCACACCAGCATTTTAAACTGTGACAAAACCCCAGGTATCGCTTTCTCATCACAATAGCAAGTATGAGAAATCTCTCAACAGGCATTGTCACTATCAACACCTGCAGCTCAGTCATCGGTAAAAAAAATCCCAGCCTTTGTGTCTGCCTTTCACTAAAGCATGCAGAATTTCTAACTGTTTTTTTTTTTTTTTTTTTTTCAGATGAAGCATCTAAACCGTCTCGCATCCCCCACAATCCAAACAAGGCAAACTACCGTGTTCAGAGTCTGCACATCCTTCAGACTTCACAGATTCTGTGTGTTTACAACAATAAGGTGCACTGCCATGGAGAGCACCTCCAACCGTGTTTTCCTCTATCTGCCTTCAGGGGTTTTCACTGGGCACCACACCCAGAAACATTGTGTCCAAAACAATGAGGAGTGCATTTCATTGACAGTCTGTCAAAACTGACATGACTCTACAATGAGCACACCTTGAGCTCTGTGATACAGCCTCCCGTGCAGACATGCATAATCCTGGCTTCGAGAACGTGAGACATTGTCCTCATTAAGACCTCCGTCAGCTCATGTTTCATCTGTGGTGTCATTAAAGAGGCTGGAAGGGATCACCTGCCCCAATAGCAGCATGCACAATAGAGGTAAATCATTATGGCGTGTACAAATAGTTGTTCCTAGCATTTCCAAACTGAGAACATAGTGATGGGGGAGAAATGAAAAGAGTAGGAGAAATATGGAACTGGTACTTAGTTAGCAAAACACTGCACCCCACTGAGGCCTGAAAAGAACCTTCAGTGGTCAGAGGTATTGTTAAGAAGAAGAAAAAATGCTGCAAGATGTCTTTGCCGGAGATTGTTTTCTAACCTCAAGGGATGACAAACCAGTGATGTAAAGAAAATGGATACTACAGGTTTGCCGGCGCTAAAGGGTGATAGAATGCACAACACCTTTACATCTTTCTGAAATGTTTTGTACACCTTAAACTGCAGCTGGTCAGAAATAGGGACAGTCTCAAGGCAAAGCCTGGAATCCTACAGGTTTATTTATTATTTTTTTGTGCAGCAAATGGAAATGGATATTTTTAGGTCTTTTGGAAGATGCAAATAGATGTGTTTTGGACTTTTGACCTCCAGATTATACTCTTAATAGAAGAGATTGAAACATTTGCAAGAGCATTTTAGTAAATTAAGACAAAGGAAAGAAAAAAACAGTTTTGATGAAGAACTAAACCTCACCCATAGTTACATCAATCCATCTCACCATTAATACATCTAACATCCCTAAGTTCATCCAACCATCTGCTTATCATTCATCAATCTGTCAGTGTCCGTCCATCCTTCCATCTCAGCCCCACTATCTTCCAGGATCGATACTGACAGTGTTGTAGCACAGCAGTAAATCCTTTTCTATTACTACAGAATGTGACATACTGACAACCATGCAGGTAGCAGCAGGTAAGCTATGTTGAAGATTACAACCTGATAAGCATTTAGTATGAATGCCTGAGCATGCATCGGTGCGCGCATGGCTGGTGAGCTGGAATCCCAAAGAAGCGATTACCAACAATTTGACTTCCAGGAGTCGCAGCTGACATCCGTCCATAGCATTCATTAAAATTACCATCTTTCCACTTTGTGAGTCAGACAGAGGATCAGACAGCTTTTATAAAAAAAAAAAAAAAACGCTCTCTGCGTTTAGCTTAAATTAAAAGATATAAAAATGATGTGTTGCTACAAACACTGACTTCAAGAGTCAGTAAATCTTAGAAATCAAGTGGATTTGAAGGACAAACAGAGGAGATGGTTAAACCAGTCTCACTGCCATCTTTTACCTACATTCATCCTCTCAAACATGCCTGCATGCTTGACCTATAACTCAAAGGCCAATCTGCTATAAATCTGGAGCTGTTCCTTGTTAATCCATGCCTTAGATTCAGACTCAAAAACCCGAAGAAGCCCTCTGGTGACCCTACAGCCCTGACTTACAGCTGGGGTTAATAGTCGTCCAAGCACTCTCTAACAAACAGCTAGAAGCGTTTATTGCTCAACTCAGAGAGAGTTTGTGTTCCTCCATCACTGTTGCCACTGCAGGCAAGTGAGAATATAAAACCGGTGGGGTTGTCACTTCTTTTCTTGGAGAAACAGAATCCAGACTCAACCTTTTCTTCCTTGTCTGTGTCCCATTTTTCTGCCTGTCAGGCAGTTGTCACATGAAAACAATAAAAAGGACAAGGTGGAAAACACACGAGCCTACCTATGCAAATCCTTCTCTCAGCTCTGACTGCAAGCTCCGAGATATACTCCTTCAGGTCTTTGATGCATCATGTTCAAAACTCCAGAGCAGAGAAGTTGCTGCATTAATTGTCCAGAATAGTTTGGCAGAAAGTTTACAAATTCAAAGGGTTTCAGTTTGGAAATATTCTGGGATGCCACAGTCTGAGATTTTCATGGTAACAGATAAAATAACGTAACATGTCACAAGATCTCTTTTTTGAAAACAAGCAAGCCCCAAATTATTAATACTGCTGCAGAAACAGTAGAGGAGAAACATCTTAAAGAAATTCTGCTGTTTATAGATTACCTAGACAATTGTAAGGATAAAGATAATCAACTCTATTGTTCACTGAATATGTGCATTATAAGGAAATTTGACTGCTGCATTTGACCCGTCTCTCAGGGATCAGTGGGGAGCTTGCAGGGAGACTTTAACTTACAGCATTTTCAGAAAGCAAACCCTGGAATCTATTGGCCACCATAACTCAGACCTATCTCTCATCTCTTATCGAATGTGTTTTTCTTGAAAAAAACAAAGGTAGAATATTACTCAGCTTCCTGTTAGCAAGCTGAGTAATAGTTTGCAGAAACAAGTGTTGGAGGAAGGCATTGCAATGCTCTTTGTATCCATGTTTTTGGAAAATAGGTCATTCTGGCTGTTTCTTTAATGTCCCAATAGGACTTTGACCAAAGATCAATTTGACAACATTTTTGCTTTTTAATTTCTTGAAACATTTGTACACTTTGATAATAAGCATCAAATGTCAACAGACACCATTTAGACTGTTGCTCTTAATGACTCAGAACTGTAAAGTGTTTGTGAGTGGTATCTCTTTAAAACAGATTTTCCTATAGTCAAACAGATGCATGGCTTTTCAAGAGCAAAAAGCCTTCTGTTATGTAAGTAGTAAAATGCATAAATTAATTTATAAATTGATAAAATAGCACATTTACTGGAAAAACAGTTTGTACAAGTCATAGGGTTATTAGGGGAAATGAATATAAAGCTTTTTAATGCTCTGAGACCAAAAGCCTAACACAAAGTGCTAGCACTTTCTAATAGTCGTCATTAGCATTTGGCTGGTATGATGCAGAGTCGAGGTTTAGCAGTAAATTATTCACATTGGTGCCATGCTGATGCGAACTTCCATTTGATCCAGGGTGCAGGATATTGACAAGTCTACGCAGAGATCTTGGTTTTAGGAAGGACTGAGAGAATCTAAAGGTTGCTGCCTGCTCTGGGTGTTGGGGATTAAACCATTTTTGTCAGTTAGCTTTACGCCTGCAGCTGTATTTGAGTGGTCTTGGGCCTTTAAAAGCTTGAAATGTGCTGGTAGGGGGGAACAGCTAGGATATTTTACTCTGTATTAATCTCTAACTGTGTGGATAGCTCATCAGTTCATCAAATGTTGATTAAAGTAACAAGGGAAAATAAATGCTTTATGTATAGAATAAAAAACAGATGGTAACTATAGAAGATTATCTGGAAAATAGACTGTATTAAATGCTTGTAAAATAGAAAAAAAAAAGAGCTGAAAACCTCACAGCAAGTTTGTAATAAATGCAGCAACAGCAGGCAGAGTCACATAATGGCTCTTATGTGGCCAACAATTAGTGTATTCCCAAGCCTGCTAGGGTGCCCAATGAGAGAGCTACTCTGCAGGGTAGAGTATCAGGGATCGATACACACAGCAGAGAGAAAACCATTAATTCTTATTAATAATGGATTAGCAAGTTATCATTTTCATGGGACAACACTTAGTGGGAATTTGTCTGATGGCATCAGCACTGGTTGTTTTAATGGAACGCTTCCATTAAGGCCTTTTCAGACCATTAGCAGGCAACTTGTTTGCAATTAATTCCATATAAAGCTGTCTTCCCAGCAAGTTATTTACCCCGACAGAGTCAACTACAATTCGGGCTGTTTGTTTAAACCAATAAACACAACGTTTTCTATCTATGCTTCTGTTTTATGGGTGAAGCTGAGGAAACACAGGGTTATTTTACATGGGAAATAGCAATTCTGCAAAGACCTTTAAAATATTACATGAAGAATATAGGGAAGTGTGGGTCTGTTTGCTCAGTGTACTCTAAGTTAGGATGATGAAGGGGCCTAATTTCATTGTTGTCAGATGTCAGTAAAAAAAAGTTATCTTAGCTTGGTATAAATCTTCAAAGGAGCTCATAACTTTGTTAAAACAGGAAAAAAAAACTCAGTGCTGCATCTCAAAATGTAATATCAGATCCCAAGGCAAAACTGGATGCAAATAAAAGGCTGTTTGTTGCCAGAAGTGACAGGCAAAAAGCAATTAGTTTCCCTGGAAGAAACTGTGTGTGTCAAGCTTTTTGACCTGCAGGCAGAAAATCCCCAGGTACCAATTGTTTCTTTGATATTTCAGAACCTTTTAGCAACACCAAAGCAATAATGCTTCATTTCTGTTTTTTTTTTTTTTTTTTATAAAAGTAAGCTAATCACAGACCTTCCCAACAAGTGCACATTGATATGTGTGAAAAACAATACTTTTAGCAGGTATAATTGTACTTTGTCTGTCAGTCCTGGCAAGTTCAAACTCTGGTCACACTCATTTCAAACCCTATTTAAATAATGCTGTGACTGTAACTTACTTTTTGGCAAGACTATAGGAAATATATATATATATATATATATATATATATATATATATA